GTTAAAGGGACAGTCCACCCCAAAATGAAAATCCTGTCATTATTTACTCACTCTCATGACGTCCCAAATCCATAAATAACATGAGGAAATGATGACAGCATGTTCATTTTTGGGTGAACTGTTCCTTTATAATTGTTACGCTCGTCAGCTTTTTTATTTAGTGGAAATTCAATATGGCTGAATATGAAATAATTGTACCATTGCTGTATTTTGCTTATCACATATACATTAAAGCTTAATCTTAACAGCAAGCCAAAGAAAGACAAATTGGAGGTGTGGTCAGTTTCTTTTCATTACTTGTTAATAAAATATTCATACTAGAAACTGAATTGGAAATGGATGCTCGGTCGTCCATTTCCATTGCAGTCACGTCGTCGTAATTGAAATGAAGCTGCCCTCATCTTCAACGCAGACGCCATCATTTCCTTTTACTGCCTTCATATTGATCATAACTTCTCAACCCTATGGATTTCTATTATTCATGACTGTAGAAATCGCCCCTAAGCAAAGATCCAGGATCGGTTTCCTTTAAACCTCATAATTCAGCATTTCACATTGACGCGCTGAAAGCTGATCTTGCCTCTGTGCTTACGGGTCGCTTCTACCTGGATAAAAACGCATACTAACCTGATTTTTTTTCCCATGCTGCACTTGGCTAAAACCCTGCCATCTCTTAACCAATAGGATGATGAGGAGGGCATTTGGGCATAGCCTCACTGGCAGCCATTTTGTTTTAGAAGGGTGAGCATTTCTTTGATGGACATGTAAAAGCCAATCTCAGCTGCCCTGTTCCTCCCCATGTGACATCAAACCCTGCCTGTCTCGCTGTGCCTGTTTGAGATTATTGGCTATGTCACCGCAGTGCAAACAAGCTTTCCAGTGGGATGTTTTATTAACAAAGAACTTTTCATATTGTTTTGATATAAAACCTACACGCATATAACTCGTTTAGAAATGCACTGCTATGAAATAGTCTACAATCTCATTTCTCCTGGTTTTGATTTTCCACCTTTTGAAGCCTGTTAGCTCTTTGTATGTTTTTGTGGTTAAACATAATCCCAGATGGTGCATTAAGACTGTATTTCCCACATTCGCTCTCACCAGATTCAAATCCTTTTCTACAGCAACAAAATCATTTTTAAACATGCTGATAAACAATTTTTAATTTGCAGGTTTACAAAATCATAAAATTTCCCAATAACTTAGTTACATTATTTACTTTCCATTACAGTACATGTATAATATAGCTAATAGACAGGATACAAATAACATACAAAATTAAATTTGTATGTGAATTTTTAATAAAAATGTCAAGTACAAAGTTAAATATCCAATATAATAAATAATGTGCATAGACAGTGAGGGTTGAGGCCACATTGAGAATCTGAGATTCGAAATCTAATTTAAATCTGGAAAAATCAAAGAAAGTTTAAGCATTTGTTATATAGAACATCCTAAATATTAAAAAATTCTGAAATTATAGACTCCAAAATTCAAATGTTTGGGACATTTCTTTGTTGAAAGTACATGTACTGTAAAATAAAGTGTAACCAATATTTCTATTTCATATAAATCCTTTCTATTCATCAAAGAATCACCAAAAAATATCAGTTTTCACAAAAATATTAAGTAGCACAACTGTTTTCAACACTGATAATAAAAATGTTTCTTGAGCAGCAAATCAGCATCTTAGAATGATTTCTGAAGGATCATGTGACACTGAAGACTGGAGTAATGATGCTGAAAATTCAGCTTTGATCACAGGAATAAATTACATTTTAAAATATATTCAAGTAGAAAGCACCTATTTTAAATTATATTAATATTTCACAATATTACTGATTTTACTTTATTTTTATCAGATAAATACAGCATTGGTGACTTCTTGCAAATGCATTAAAAAATCATTCTGACGTTAAACTTTGGACTAGTATATTACAATTCAATTATGATAGTAAAAAATGCTAGTATTAACCAGGGATGCTCATTTTGATTTGATTTCCTGACCAATAGCTCAAGCATGTCAACCCTTCTTTAACCGTGTGTTTTCATTTTTTTAATGAATTAAAAAAGAATGACTTCCAAACCCAAAATGCAGCCATTATTATTAAATATATCCATTTGAGTTAGTCTAGCTAGAGGAAATTACTGCACGGCAGTTTGCTGTCAGTTTACAGAAACATCAACTAAAAAGGAAGACTCATTAATGTTTATCAGTATTTAACGAAACCAATGTTCATTGGAAGCTAAGCATGACCCAGAATGAGAAAAGTAAAATCACATTAAGATGACAATGCTTGCTGCACCACCAGGATGATTCCTTATAAGAGTCCTCCTACAACAAAAACGGTCACAATAATATAATGAATTTTCACTGTTTTGGGTACTGTCTTGTGTCGTCTCGTCATGTCTAAAAAGCATGTGTTTGCATGCCAGTATATCTTGTGTCTTTTAAAAGCATCGTGCTGATAGAAATGATGTGCTTGCAGTGAACAATATCAACCCCAGCAAGCTAAAGTTTGCAAATGCATGAGAACAGACTGTCTGTTTCCCATAATCCTCTGCGTGTGGTAGTAACAGTGTGTCTGCTCTGTAGATAAGATCTGGGCGGAAAGCTATAGTGCACAGGAGCTCTACACCGGCCACCTGATTATCCCATACAACCACCCCAAACCCCTTTACTTACACAATCAACTCAGCCCACATCTCATCACACCAGTTACCCAGGACCCACCGCCAGAGACCACACACATTCTCACAGGTAACAGTTACATGTTTGTGCATGTCAAAGCTTTTCAAAGTACTTTCAAAGAATTTTCTAGGTGTGCATAAATAAGCAAATCATGAATTTTTATGTAATGGCTTCTAACTACTGAAACTCATTTCTGTCATATAAAACAAAAAATAAAAACAATAATGATTTAATTTACATTTAGTCATTTAGCAGATGCTTTTATCCAAAGCAACTTGCAAATGAGAACAATAGAAGCAATCATAACCAACAAAAGAGCAATAATATGTAAGTGCTGTAACAAGTCTCAGTTAGCCTAACGCAGTATATGCAGCAAGGGTTTTTTATAATAAATAAAAAGAAAACAAGTAGTAAGAATAGAATAGAAAGTAGTAAGAATTTTATTTTAAAGGGGTCATATGATGTTGCTAAAAAGAACATTATTTTGTGTATTTGGTGTAATGAAATGTGTTTATGTGGTTTAAGGATAAAAAAACACATTATTTCCCACATACTGTACATTATTGCTTCTCCTCTATGAACTGCGGCCTTTCTGAAACGCGTCGATTTTTACAAAGCTCATCGGTCTGAAAAGCGAGGTGTGCTCTGATTGGCCAGCTATCCAGTGCGTTGTGATTGGCCGAATACCTCAAACGTGTGACGGAAATGTTACGCCCCTTGCCATACTGTGATGCCCTGTCCGGCCGGAGCGACGAAACAAAAACATTAAAACCCATTATAAACGAGGCATTTGTTGCATCCAATGGGGACATAACTACAGATTATAATGACTTATACTGTCTTTTTACGCGTTGCATCACACAGCGTAAACATAAAACCATGTCTGCATTTGTGATCGGAGAAATGACAAACAACAAGCGCTACTCTACACTGCTCAAAACTCGCGTTTGAATCATCAGTAGCAAATCCTTTAAATATGAAAACGTACTTACAGTCTGTGAGTCAGAACAGCCGACATTGTA